GGACTCGGGGGGGGGGGGAGGCCCAGGACAGGGCTCTGGCCAGGGCCCTCAGCACAGACTGGCATCCTTCGGAAATGGCGGGTGTGCCAGACTGTCCTTCGGAAATGGCGCTAAGTCTGCACACCCGTTCTTCAGTTTTTGAGAGTTTGTGGTGGGTGGCCCATGGGGCCCACCCAGCCGTTGACATCTGACAGGGGAAGATGAGTCCCTGGCACCAACGCATTGCTTGGATAAAAGAGTTATCGCATGCTTGTGTGGTGCCCAAACCACCGGAGGAGGTCCCAGCGGAGATCAAGGAGGACGTGGCAAAGTTGCAGAAGCCACTGCCGGCCATCCTGGTGGGCAAGGAAATCCCCTGGGTCATCCAGGCGGCTCTGGGCGCATCGGGCTACGTCACGGTGGAAGACCTGGCGGATCGCTGGAACACCCCGGCGGCGGCTAGGGACAATGGTCCCCGGGACCTGGGATTCCAGGATGGAGAGAATGGGTTCAACGCCCAGACCTCGGCCTTCACGGCGATGCGCAGGCAGTTCGGGTGGCAGCCAACTTGGTCCCCGACAAAGGCTCCCTTGGAGGTCCTGTGTGACAGGCGCCACGGCCGCAGGTGGGAGGGGATTTTTTTTAGGGTGCCACCGGCCCCGGAAGCCCCTCCACCGAAGAAGAGGAGCGGACCCAGCCAGGGCACTCCAGAAGGGCGGAAGCACCCCTTTCCCCCGCACCCACCGAGGCAGTGGGAAGAACCCCCAGAGAGACCCAGAGGTGAGGATCCGCCCGGCAAGGGGCGTTCCAAGGGCGGGCAGAACCGCCAGGGCAAGCAGCAAGTTCAGGGCCAGATGACCGGAGGGTCAGACAAAGGACACACGGAAACCCCAGGGGGGGCAAGCCCCACCTTCCCCTGGATGCAAGACACCCCGGAAAGACTGAGGCTCAGACTAAGGTGGACGCCACGTCCGGTGCCGGAGTCGTCAAAGCCGTCCCTCATCCTGCTGTACGATGGGAAGGATGATGCGGGGGCACTGGATGCTTACCTCCATGCCTACAACCCGGCCTTCTCGGAGTACATTTGGGCGGTGGACATCAGGCGAAAGGGTGGAGATCTTGGACAGGACATGCTGGGAGACGAGCCTTACTCTACGATGTGCTCCATGGCCATGGCGGGCAAGGTTGCCTTTGTGGGGGGCGGCCCCAACTACAGGACGTGGAGCATTCTCAGATGGTTCCCCAAACCGGGAGGCCCGCCGCCGGTGAGGGGCAGGGCGGAGCAGACCCTGTGGGGCTTAGAGGACCTGGAGCCCCGGGTAATGGAGGACACGGACAACGACAGCGTGCTCATGCTCCGACAGATGTACCTGACCTCGCTGGCCTACCAGGGACTAGGTCAACTAACGGTCCCCGCAGGTGGGCTCCTCCTTCCTGGAGCACCCAATGGACCCAATGGAGTGCAGCAAGAGCCCGAGCGCAGCGAGGTGCTCATTGGGTCACACGGGCCTACATTCAATGGGCGAACGCACTCCACCACTCCCTCATCAAGTTTGATGAGTGCCGCCTGGGCCAGGTGGTAGTGAAGTCCACGACATTGTCAACGGACCTTCCCCTTCACCATTGGCATGATCTGCGATGCAACCACGGAGCTCACCCCAGGGGGAAAAGCTCAACTCCAGTGACCTCAGCCGGTATCCAGAGCAGATGATGCAGGGTCTCGCAGCGGCCATCCTTTGCAGAGCGGGACCCGTCCTGGAGGCGCTGAGGCCGGGGGGCACGGTGCCCCAAGCGAACCCAACGACCCCCCCGAGGCGACAGAGGGAACCATCTCCCAGCACGCCGGGGGACAACAAGCGCCAGTCCCTGAGGCTGAAGGCCGGCCAGCAAGCGTTGGCGGGACTAACCTTGGGCTCACTTCCGGTCTCGGCCTCAGACAATCCGGAGGTCCGGACACCAACACAGCCGGCTGGCGGGGCGGTCGAACTTCGGGGTGGAACTCTTTCTCCTGAGCCATGGGTACGCCATTGCATGGAGATCTCGGATCGGCCCACCACCCTGCCGATCACGCACGACCCAAATCTCTCCGACAAGGTTATGTACCTCCAGATGGCCTTCAAACAGCGCCCCCTTAGGGACGGGGGTGGGAAGCCCTCACTTGAACGGCTGGCCCCGTGGACTCGGCCACTGTCCAAAGCAGCAGCGATGGGGGCCAAGATCTGTGTCCTCACGTCGCCATGGGGGACAAGCTCCAGGAGTCGCTCTCGTTGGGGGACGGGTCACATCCCTTCCCGGAGGATCTGCTGGAGGATATCAGGGAGATCCTGGCGCCGGGGGCAGGCCGACCAGCTGAAGGCCAACCCTTCTTCCTGGACATCTTGCACAGCGTGGCGCTGAACATTCAGGACCCCGACCACCAGTTTCCTCGGGATCTGGAACAAGGGGTCCCACTGGGGGTCACGGACCCACCCCTAGCCTCGCCGGGCAGGCCACTTAAGAAGGAGCCCAAGGTGGAGGCAGCAGCGCGCTGTGGCTGCAAGATTGAGGACCTTTGTCCAGGCCCCCTAGCGGGCATCGACATCCGCACCATCTACGATGGCTCGGTGGGCGGGGCCAATGACACCATCAGGAACTAGACGGTGGAAAGGACGACGGCCGACGGTGCTGGATGGGGTACAAGCTCTTCATTGGCTACATGCGGCAGCTGCGGAGGGACCTCCCTCTCAGGGTGCCCCTGGCCCCGAGAAGGAGGTCGTCAAACCTCCACCCGAGGGCTGGCTATGGCCGGAGCCGGGCACCAGGTGGGTGCTGCTCAAGGCGGACGTCACCAAGGCCCACCGGAGAGTGAAGGTCCTCAGGAAGGACTGGCGGTTCCAGGTGGCTTCACTGGGGGAAGAATGGTGGGTGAACAAGGTAGGCACATACGGCATGGCCAGTGCCCAATCCTACTGGGGACGCCTGGCAGCCCTTCTACTCAGGGTCCTCTACGCACTTTTCCCTCAAGTGGATTGGAACTTCGTCTTTGTGGATGACTTCCTGTGGCTGCTTCGCAGCGAGGGGGCAGTAAACTTGGCGGTGGCGCTGTTGGCAACACTCCTGGCCTTGGGCACCCCGCTTAGCTGGAAGAAGACACATTTGGCGGAGGTCAACACGTGGCTGGGCTTCGTGGTCCACCCGAACATCCCGCAGGTTCTCATGGCCGCCAACAAACACATCCTGGTGATGGAGGTCTTGCAGACCATGGTGGAAGGGCAGGCGATGCACTCAAAGGACATCGAGAAGGCCCTGGGCCGCATCCAATGGGCAACTGCTGCATGTCCGTTGGCGAAGTCGATGCTTCAGCCACTTTGGGCCTGGAAGATGGCCACCACCACGGTGGGGAAACCCCCCAAGGTGGTCAGGATGCTGGCGTTCATGCTGCGGTTCCTCTTCAACACGCCCTTCGTCCAGTACTCCCCTTACTTGCCGAAGTCCTCTTGGTGGGGTTGCAGCGATGCTAGCGCCTCGGACGAAGGACTGGCATTTGTGGGAGGATGGTGCTCCAATAAAATGGAGCCAGAAAAGAAGGAGGTGTACTGGTTCCACGAGCAGATCCACGTGGAAGAGTACCCGTGGGCATTCAAGAATGGGGATCCCAAGCGGAGGATTGCGGCTTTGGAAATGCTGGGCACGCTCTTCCTCTGTAACATGATCCTCACGCACCAAGGCCCTCTGTCCTCCCGGGTCCGACTCCCGGTGGGCAGTGACAATCAGGGCAACGTCATGGCGATGCTCAACCTTGGATCCAAGAAGCCCTACACCGCGGCGATCCTGATGGAGCTGGTCTTCCTGCTCCACACCCATGGCTGCTCGCTGGCGGCCAACCACGTGCCCCGGGAATTCAACCAATGGGCTGATGAGCTGACGCACCCAGATTTCTCTGGGTTCGACCCTTTGCACAGGGTCCCCAAACAGGAACTCTGCGAGGAGTTCGTTTTTCTCCCGCGTCTCCTGAATGGAGATGCATTTGATCTTAGCGTGGGCCCACCCATGCTCCCGTGACCGGAGCCGGTGGGTGACTCACTTCCCCTGGTGGCAGACCCCCCTGTGGCCTGGGTGCCCCGGGCCCCGGCTCAGGGGCGGGCGCTATCAGTCTGCACACCCGTTCTTCAGTTTTTGAGAGTTTGTGGTGGGTGGCCCATGGGGCCCACCCAGCCGTTGACATCTGACAGGGGAAGATGAGTCCCTGGCACCAACACATTGCTTGGATAAAAGAGTTATCGCATGCTTGTGTGGTGCCGTTTGGTTAGCTTACATACACAAATCAAAAAACCACAAGCTGGGTTGAAAGTTGAGGAAGCAATGGCCCAAATCAGGAGCTTTGACTAGACCAGGCGTACATTTCGACACCATGCAGCGTCAACTCTGCGCGAGATCTGCAAGAAAAGGCAGGCGATAGTTGGCTTGTGGTGCAGTTTTGCATGTTGTAATAGCTGCAATTCACGGTGACGTGGCCGGGGTCGCAGGAAGCGTTGAACATAGGCAGTTTGACCATGGCGGGCGATTCCCATTTTTTATTTCTCGCAAAGGGGGAGGGCGCGAATCTAAGTAAAGCATGCGCCTAAATGCGTCAAGTGGGTGGTTCCTAAGATGGACACGGATGATTTTAGTTGTTGATTTCCCGCTGGTTTCACTAGTTTTGGGACAGCCAAAAGCGGCACCCTTTTGCCCCAGACGACTTCTTTGCTGCTTCATTTTCGGGTTGCCATCATTTGCCCAAGTTTCTTCTTCAGGGTATCCTATTTGTTTTTTTCCAGGCAGGCCTCAGTCTAATACAAGGGGCTAAATACTGACTAGGGTGATTTTCCTGTCATGGCTTATCTTGGTGGCTCCCAGCCATCCCCTTGGCTTTTTAGCCTTTTCGCGCTTAGTGGTAGTTTCCATTTGACCCACTAACAGTTCAACTTTTAGCGGGGGATGTGAGGGCAGCCCAGCATCAGATCTCGAATCCCTTGGGGCCAAAGCTGGGAATGCGTCTGCAGAACGTGCCGGCCCACACGGATTGCAGCGGTCTGCGGAAGAGCGCCACCATGATCTTCGAGGTGGTGCCGCCCGTGGTCATCGATGCTCGGCTACGGCAGGTTCCGCGTGGCTCTTTTCTCCTTGATCTCTATCTGTTTGTGTGTGTGTGTGTGTGTGCATTTGTGTAATTTTTTGAGGGTCCCGAAACCAGAAAGGTTGCTTTAACAGCGAGCCATACAGAAAAATACAGTTGTCGGGTCCCCTACTTCATCACATACCCACCTAGAGGTTAACACACTTGCCGCCCCCCTGCCCAGTTCTTTATGAGTGGGCTAATAACCATGCTTGTGAGTGGGACAACAGGGGTTGGTTGGCGAATAAGCATGAGTATAGCCATGTATAGCCTACTTGCTAACGAGGTTGGACATCCAAGTAGAGGTCTCTTGAACAGGGCTTCTGTCATCAAGGTTACCTATGATTCCCCAAACATTGCCAGCCACAAGCAATACTGTGGATGGACGAAATCCTGCACCACGTAAGAAACCCTGGAATGATGATTTCTCTGTAAATACCACCAAAAATGGTTTCCAATGGTTTCAAAGTGGTGCAGGATTTCGTGCATCCACAGTAGGCATGCTACCGGGTTTCCCTTGTTCATCCCTCGCAGGGACAGTCCCAGGCGCGGAAATCCGCCCTGTTGGTTGGCCAGAAGCAAACCTGCTTTTCAGGTCTCAAAGAGTTTTCGTTCACAGAAAACGAGTATGAAATTGTGAGCCTCAAGATATCCCACCTGCAACTCCCAGCCAACCTTTGGATATGGCATTGCTGGAAATCTATCGCTTCCTGTTGGGGCAAAGGTAATCTTGCTGGTTGTCAGTGGCAAATCAAGAGTAGCTTTGGGAATGAACGTAGGGATGCCCTTAAAGGACACCACAAGGGATTGTTCATTGGGTGGTCATTCCCTCTCACAATCCCTCTCTTGAGAACCAGCAAGTAGGCGAGTAGATTCTCTTGAGCAACTTTGCTTCTTTCCCGTGCATGCCTCGCAGTCGAATCCGTCGAATCCGCGGATGCGCGCCGGTTAAAATTCATCCATCCCGGGCCCCCGAAAACTGAGTCGAGTAGTCGAGTCGAGTTAGGCGGTCAACATCGTGGTGATCGGCCTCTCCGTGGATTTGCAGAAGAGGGACGGCAGCGACTCACGGGTCTGGCAGGCGCCCATGTCACGCGCACTCGGACTCGAGGCTCGGGACTTTTTTCGGAGGGATGAACCGAATAGAAACAGGTAAAGTTTGCCAGGGCTCCTTAAAATATTCATTTTGCAACCATTTGAAACATGGCTTTTTCCAGCAAAATAACATTTACAAGGCAATGCTGAGGTGTATAATGTAAGGATCTCTGTTGCCTTGGCAAAAGATCCGAACGCTTGAGTCTGCAGATTTTACGAAGCCAATAGATCTGCCTGGTTCGAGGCTTGCGGCCAGCTTTTTGGGTTTCGCTGAACATTTGGGTTTGGCACACTTTTAGGGTTGGTTTTGAAGGGAAGCAAAAAGGAACACCTCCATTTTCGAGGCGGGCTATTTTGACACATTTTGCCTTTTCTGGGATCTATCATTCATTTTTTAAGGATGGGCTAAATATGAAAGATATGTTGTGTGTACCCAGGGGTGGAGCCGTTTCTCAAACGCGGCGCCCTGGGCAACAGGTTCTCTTTGCATCGAGGAGCCGGGGTCATTGCGTTGACTGTTGGGGGTCGAAGTCAGAATCTGCGGTTTGTGTCTCTCTAGGCTACTTGGGTGACTTCATTGGGAATCTCCAAACAGAACCTCAAATGGGCGGATTCCTTTTGGTTTCCCTTTACCCGGCTCTGATTTGTCTAGTTGGCCCAAACGTGTGTGTCAAAATCGGGGGCACCAGGATTGATCTCTTTTCGCTTTCCCTTCCAACCAACCCGAACCTGGGACCCCAGCATGTCCACAATGGGCCCTTCCAACCAGCCCGAACATGATGGAACACACAAAAAACGCACGAAGCACAGACCTGGCCATTTCCCCCCCCAAAAAAACACCTAAAAACCGGGGTCGCCCTCTCTTCTTTTGGGCTGGCGGTACAAGAACCGGGGGAGCCCCGGTTCACTTTGGGCTTCGGAGAAGCCGCCGAGCCTCGAGGTGCTGGAGTGGCTCTTCCTGTTCTTCTACTTCCTCGAGGCCAGCGGAAAGATCGGAGTGCCCCTTGCCTAGAGAAAAGGAGACGAGCCGGCGGAAAAGGGGGGCACTCTTTTTTTTTTTGGGGGGGGGTTTGGCGTTTGTTTTTTCCTCCTGTTTTTTTTTGGGTGGGTGGCTTTTGTGTGGCAAAAAAAGCAACTCTGAGCTCACCTTGAAAGGGAAACCAGAAGGAACCAAAGTCGCCCGGCTTTTTTTTTTTGGTTTTTCTTTCGCCTTTCCGCACCCCAAGAAATGGTTGGCGTGTCACAAAAAGGCACGCAGATGTCAAGCAGACACCACTGCCTACTGTTTGGATCACATTGGCGGCATTCAGTTGTAGATTCGCTCTTCGGAGACGCGTTGTCTGAGGGCCCCAAGGACTCTGGGAGGCTTTAGCCCAAACAGGGAACAAGGCCATGAGGGTTTTGGGAAGGGGACGTTTGGAGGTGGTTGGATCCCTGATTGTCACCCCTGGACTCAGTCAATAAGCAGTGTCAACAGAGGCGAGCCGGAGCCACTCTTTCGGCGAGGTCCCTTCCAGGAAGGGCCTCTGAAATTCCGCTCGGTTTCGAGTCCGCGCCTGGGCAGAGTGCCTAGCATTGGTCCAAGCTCTTAGGCCCGTCTTCAGATTGGGTCACAGGCACTCGCGTTGGCGCAAGACGTGCTGCTCGAAGAGCTGAGGTTTGGCTGCCTGTGGTACTTCTGCGGCCCAGATCGTTGGTGGATGCCTGGTCTGAGCATAAGCTGACACGTGACAACTGGGGTACGGATTCTGACCGGGGGTTGTCAAAGTTAGAAGCTGTTTCCCTTAAACCTGCCAGTTTGAGAGGGGGGGGCACTTTGACAATGATAGCAGTAACTGGGCCTGGACGAGGAATGAGTCAGAAGGATATCTTCAAATAGCTGTCTGGTGCTGGTTGTATGGTTCCTTGGTGGCAAAGTCCCAGCATCTGCCTGTGTGTGCCATTTTTTTTCGGGACCCCCCCCCCCGTGCACAATGGTGCTTTTCCTCAAGAAGGGTATCCTCCGAAAGGCACTCGATGGATGGAGGTCGGAAATCTGACGCTGCCCCGCCTTTGGGGTTCAAGGCCAAAGGCCAAAGGCCCAAGGTTGAAGTGAAAGAGGGGCCACGTTGGAGGGATGCGCGATGCGTCAAATGACAGGGAGTGCTTGCGTTGACTCCTCCGGTCGAGGAACATCTTTGACTTCTTCTGCCTCTGCTTGTCCCTGGCAGACTTAGCAATCTACGTCTACGTCCTGATTGCCCAGGCGCGTACTTCAATCCCAAAGTGCCCACTTTCAAGGTTCGGGGACCTCGCGCATTGCTGAGCGGCCCTTGTAACAGTTTTTTCTTCTTTTTGTTTTTGAAACATCAGAATAGGTCCTATCCAGCAAAAAGGTTTCTTGACCGTTGGATCTCTTGACATGGGTTTTGCTTTGGCTTTCCCATGCGCCGCGAACACTGGGGTCCGGATGCCAGGGATTTGGGGCTCCCGACCTCCGTGGGATTTTTGACCTCGGTTTTTGTTGGACACCCGGAAGAAGGCGTCGAAAGACCAGATGTCCACGGCGTCAACGGTGCCAAGGAAGTCGCGAGCCCGGCAACCGCCCGAGGATTTCTGGGCGTGAGGCCACGGCATTGCTTCCCACGAGCAATCGTGCGTGTTGCAACGCCGTGGTTGCACAAGTGCGAAGAACAGCGCGGGATTCCGCCCGCCTTGCTTGGCATGGCACAAGGTGGTAGCCACTTCTTCATGTCTTGCCAGCCTTTTGAAGATCCATCCCGAGGCAAGGCCACTCTGCTTGCGTGATGCCAAGGGAAGGTGTGTTGGAAACCAAACAAAAAGACTGCAGGGATCCGAGTAACTTGTCCCCACCCCCCGGACCCCCCAAAGTCATCGAGTCGCCCAGGCCGGAACAGCGTCATGAAACAAGTTGTGCAGAATGCTCCGCGCCGTTGGTGGCGTGGAAACAAACACAAGCCACCCTTCTTGAGCCATCGTTACAGCTGGACAAGACAGAGACTGCACAGAGCCTGGTGCAGTTGCGTAGAATGGCTTTGGCATTCTGGCGCCCGACACTTGAGGTGTGTTGGTCCGCCTTCTTTTCCTGTGCAAGCGGCACCTGATCAGCAATTTGGGCCTTCTGGCCTTATATCGCTTTTCCAACCCGTTGAAAAAATGGCCTCCCGGCCTCCCTCCGAGTGCCTAGTGCGTCTGGTTAGGTGGAGCATTTCTTCGACCTCCAGACCCTGATGCTGGTGAAGATGTTGCGCCTGGCGCGCCTGGCGCGGCTGGTCCGGGCCCTGCGGTTCCAGATCTTCTGCCCCTCGGAGCCGGATCGCCGAGTCGGATGCGCGGATTCGTGTCCAGCGGCCGGGTCAGGGGCTTGGAAACACGGAACAAAAATCGGGCGGAGACCTGGGTGTGCTGCCGACTCTCTTTTGAGCTTTTTCCGACTCGCGTTTTATGAGCTCTTCACTACCTTTTCGTATTTTGTTTTTGTTTGGCTTCCGCCAGAAGGCGTGGCTGGGCTTTGACCTTCGAACCCTTAGAACTTTTGGAAACAAATGGACATGGGTCAAAACCCCGTACCCCCCAAGTGAACATCCCAATCCACCCACTAAAGTAGACTAAAATGGGTGGTGCACCTACCCCAAAATGGTACCATTGGTTTTGACCCGCGGCCAAATGGCTTTCGACTAAGCCTACAAAAGGTTAGACCCTTGGGCTCGCTGGGGAAGAGCAACCCAGAATGGGGTTGGCGTTTTTTTCAGGCACATTCGTCTTGATTGAATCTCACTCTCTCTCTCTCTCTCTCTCTCTCTCTCATTCTTGTTCGCACAAACATACACCCTTCTGAGGCTGTCACTGCAGTGCACCGCAGGGGTTGTCATTGGAGTACGTCTGCAAGGTCTGTCGTAGGAATATTGGTTGGGTGTGGACATACCTATATCGAGCCGCATGTTGCAATTTCGTGGTTGACCCCGAATTTGATGTATGTCAATCTACATGTTACTTCCCTTGAGTGGGTGTGAAAACTCTAACTGGGGGACCCTTGGACTTCCTTTGGTTGGAGGACATGGTGGCTATTTCTTGAAGGTCTCGTAGCGTGTTGTGACCCCACGCACATCTCATAGCGACTTGCTGAGACGAGCTGAAGCTGATGGTCCTGGGTGTCATTAGCGGCATGCGGGTGCTTGCTTGGGCCATGGTGCTCTTAGCCCCTTGGCTCCAAGTAACGGAAAGCGACTTGACAAAACCGCGAGGGTAGAACATTGGCAGCAGGGGTCCATGACCTTTCACGTTTGGGTCGTTCAAATTGGTAGGGCGGTGTCGACAGGTTGCAACACAACCACTGCTCTGACCCTCAAAATGACAAAACAACAAATTGGCCTTTCCCGGGGTTTCTGGGGTTTTCGTTGAGTGCCAACTTTCTACCCTTGCGAGGTCTTTGGTGGAACCTCCGGCGACAGTCATTTTTTTTGCTTTGCTTCGAGGCCTGGTCAAAATGGCCTATTATACTCTTGCGGTGGTTTTTCGTTTAACGTGGTCCATTTTGGGATGGAAGTCTCAATGTCCTGTTCTCTGCGAGTTGGGATTTACCCCCTGAGAGCCCTGGGCACAGAAAGCGGGCATGAAAGTGCTGAGCGTGGGCGGCAGTTGAGGAGAAAGCACTGGCTGAGCGTGGCTCACATTGAACCAAGTTTCCGATTGGACGTTGCAGATTTGGAATTTTTGAGACCCCTAAAATGGGTGGTGTTAATTTTGTTTCCCTTTCAAACAGCCCCAAAACCGTGTACGCTCAAGAAAGAGACAGACCCATTTCGTGAGAGACGGCCTCATGAAGGGTCTGAAAGCAGGTTGTGCGAGGACTGGGCGCAGATTGATGATTGATGGATGCTTCTTCCTGGCACCTCTTTCCCCGAATCAACTGCTCTTTCCTCCCCCCAGGTACGGAGAAGGGGAAAGACAAATTGTGAGGATGGAGCATTCTTAGTTGACCATAATGGTGAAGGGTCCCGCCTCATTTTGGACCCATTTCCGATCAAAATTCGATGCGAACAGCTGAGGCCATCATGATATACTCCGCCGCCATTGCCACCACCAGCACCCCGGATGGCAAATTCCGCTTTGTGGGGGGGGGGGCGTGTTCTTCCAGGCTGATGTTTTTTGAGTTGGTTTAAAGGGACAGCAAGAGTTTCCCCACCCCCTTTGAAAAGATATACCCAAAGGCTTTCAGCGCAAAAAGGGCGCCGAAGTGAGTCAGCGCCTGCCAGGTGATCGGTTTGTTTTGTTTCCCCCGATTTGAGCACGTCCTTTGTTGCTTTGGGGGAGTTTTTGGGTATGGACGCCACCATTTTGGGGAGTTTTTCCGATTTGATAAAGTCCCTTTTGACACGGGTTGCTCCGAACCAAAAGCGAAACAATGTCCTTTGTAGGGGACTGCCCCCTAAATTGGCGTCTTTCCTTTTAGTTTTTCTTTAAGCCAGCCCTAAAAAGAGCACCATCAAAAAAGAGACACTCAGTTGGTTGCTTTTGGTTCTCTTTGCCCTCCATGGAACTCCTTCCTCACGGGTTACATCGGGTTGCGTGGCATCGAGAGAAGCATGCTTGGGTGTTCGACGAGTGGAGGCGGTGAACTTGCTGCGGAATTGGTAGGATATGTGGGAATGAACCCAGGCTTTGGTCCTCAAAACGGAAGAGCCACCCGTTGGATGGTTTCAATTGGCCAATTCTCAGGGCCCCTGCCTATCGCTGGCAGGAATCCACAAGAAATGGTTGATAGGGGTCATTACCTCAGCTGTTGATCGCAGCGATCACAAGTTCAACAAGGCATCAGAAGCATAGGGGTGCTTTTTGGGTGATTTTGGCTAGAAATAGATGGCACTGGTTTAGGTTGGTTTATCCCATTGACCAGCGCCATCTACTTTCCCAAAAGGACACCTATAGTCAGATGTCAAGACCCGAGGCATGTTCGGCGACAACGTGCCGGAGCTGCAGACGGTGACCAAGTCTATGCTGCCCGGCAAAGGAAGAGCTGGACAGAAGTTGGACAGTTTGGTTCAGGTAGCTGGGGGGATTGCCCCGTTGAGGTGCCGCCCTTTAAAGGGCAGGCCGAAAAGGACCCTGTTTTTTGGAAACATGACACCCTTTACTTCCCAAGATAAATGTGCTGAACTGAACCATCATCCTCTCAAGGCATCCCGCAGCTCGCTACATGTTGCTGGACAGGCAGAATATGAAGAATTGCTTTGGGGCTCGGGTGAAATCAATCAAACCTTGCAGAAATTTTGCACGGCGCAACTGGCTCAGATAGGCACAGCCTGCAGCATTAGCAAAATTTCCCCACCCCCCCTTGTTCAAAGGAAGCATGGCAGAACCACAATACGTATCTCCGACAGTGAACCACAAACTACATATGTTGGTCGGCGCAAAGCACGGCCTGAGGATTTCCGCAAGGCGTCACATCCGGCTGCATTTGCTCGGGGCAAAACCTTCAAAGACACACATCATTGTTGATTTGTCAAGTCAGGTAAAGACGCAACCCCAGTTGCCCAGCGGCACCCTATTTTCCTTTTTGTTTGGAAGGGTTCCCCTTTAACCTCAACCAGCCAAAAAAAGAGGCTGATCGGATTCCTTTTTTGTTCCCATGGACATCCTCTAATGAAACTCAACCAACAAACAAAAAAAAGATGCCTTTTTTTCTTCTTCTCCCTGTGGAAATTTCCACTGGGCATCTGAGGTTTCAAGCCCAAAGGCAGGGTATGGAAGCGGTTTTTCCCACCCATAAGGCAGGTATTGGAGCGGATGCGATCTGCGCAGGTTCACCCTCTTCCGCTGCTTCACGGACGGCTGCGTGGCCTATGATGGCACCCCGCTGTCCGAGAAGCTCCATGAGATCTACGGCCCCTTGGGATCGGGGGGATTTCCTCTTTTTTTCTTCTTTTTTTTTTTTGGGGGGGGGAGGGGGTGTGTGCGGGTGTGAAAGAGGGAGGCAACATTTTTTTTTTTTTGGGGGGGTTAGGGTTCAAAGAGGGAGGCAACACATGGATGGGTGTTTTTTAGGTTGTAGCTTTCCATTGAATACAATGTAAAATCAGATGAAGATCGCTTCAAGGTTGATCGACCTCGACTTTGGCTTTCACGTCAAACTGGCTCCAGAAACGACATTGGGAAAAATAGGACCAACAGGATTTGAGCCTGCAACCTCCCATGGTTTCGAGAAACATGAGCGCGCTACCATTGCGCCATGGCCCCCTTGCAAGATCCGATGAGCTGAGGCCCAAAAAAAGTATTTCATGTAGGAAAAAGCTGACGCACTGAAGGAGATGACTCGATCTTGCCAAAGTTTGCTCATCTTTGTCGCAACCATCTTGTCCGGTCCTGTAAGACTAGAACCAAAGGGTAATTTCAGAAGACACACCCATCTTTCCCTCTAAAAAACCTCGGTTTGTCGCAATGCTATGAGCTTTAATAGGGAACCACCATGGTTGGAGCTATGATCTTCCCCCAGAGAGGCGCCCCGATTGAGTCAAACTCGGGACAATCCCAGCCATAAAAACGGGTGCGGCCTTTTCAATTCTCTATGGTTCCGGGATTACGAAGATTCAACTAGCGGGGTTTGACCATGACTCATTTGAGCGCGTTTCCGCCGACTTGAGCGGATTTCTTTGGGTCCTCAGACACCTCTAGACCAATGTGTCAGGATTCCGCCGGTTCCGGTTCGGGGGGGGGGGGTCTTGCGCCTTTCATTGGTTTCTGGTTTGCCAAGAGTTTCGGCCTGGTGCTAGTGGCGAATCAAGGCATGAGCTTCGTAATTCCCTATGCAGCTTGGCATGGGAAGAGAAGAGGAATGCCGAAGACGTGCCACTGTTGCCCCCTGAAGACAAGAGAGCTCCACCCACAAAGCAGGCACTGAAATGGGATTGGCCAGGCCCTATGCGCCCTTAGGACCGCGGTGTCCGGATTCATGGGGGATGCCTTTAGTGTGGTCCTCCGGAGTGATCCAAAGTTGATACATGACGTTTCGCATTCTTCTTTCCTAAGGCCACATTCTTCACCGGGGATCTGTGATCCAGCAACCACCGATAGCAGCCTTAGCACAGCGGTTGGATTTTCTACACACTTGTAAGCTGCGCAGTTGATACACCTGAATGGCAGGCCAAGCGGGCGCCGCGGGACTTGTAACTCGGTTTCTCTGAGTCGCAGCCCTCCACGAAAAGCTCGGGAGCCCACCAGACTTTCTCTTAAGACACATCGGCACCTACGGAATTGAGTGGCTTTGGCTTGAGACCCAGCCGCCCTGACAGTGATTCAGCCTGACTTCCTGTTGGGGGGTGGGCCTCTTGTTGAGCCTGAGACCGACTTCCCAGCTTGGGTGTGAGTTTTTGGAGGTTGCACTTTTTCTGGTTTACAGGGAAACCAAAAGAAAGGTTTTTTTTGTTTATAATGTTGGTACATCCCTGCGGGTGATACCCTCGCCCAAACGATCTTGAGCGCTCAGCTTGTGTGAAACAGTGCGGGCTTGATAGGAAGGGATGGTCTTGAACCTTTTGATTGGGAACCCGGTAACCCAGCACCCCACCCCACCCCACCCCACCCCACCCCACCCCACCCCACCCCACCCCACCCCACCCCACCCCACCCCACCCCACCCCACCCCACCCCACCCCCCCCCACCCCACCCCACCCCACCCCACCCCACCCCACCCCACCCCACCCCACCCCACCCCACCCCACCCCACCCCACCCCACCCCACCCCACCCCACCCCACCCCACCCCACCCCACCCCACCCCACCCCACCCCACCCCACCCCACCCCACCCCCCCACCCCACCCCACCCCACCCCACCCCACCCCACCCCACCCCAACCCAATTAGGAGAATCAGGGCTTGCACACTGGCATTGGCCAATTTTTTCCTTCCTTCATGTTGGGTGGATGCAAGTGCTTGGCGGAGGGCTGGGAGAACTTTGTGGTCCAAAGCTGCTGAAATTAGTGCGCTCCTCTTCCTACTTCCGCAGAGGCCCAACAAAAACCAGTTGTTTCTGTGAGTTACAAAAGGTCCGCAGAAATCGCAGCTGGCATTCGTACGCACCTGGTGACCAACTTAGCAGATGGCTTGCAAGCAGCGGGCCAACTGTTTGAGGAGTGACCCGTCCCAAAGCATGTCGGGCATCTTGGCCAGCGTGCGCGACTTGACCTTAAGCTTTACCTCAAGCCCAGCTCAATCGTGGAGGTCGGTGCCTTCAACGTTGTGAGTCGCGCGCGTGTATGGCGACAGCACACATGATGCGAGACCACTGGTTCTGAAGCAGTGTTGAAGCTGTGCCGGTGGCAGGCAGGCACCCCATGCCCTTGGGTGAGGCCGAGCTGTGTGTGTTGTCTGACACGGTGGACGTGGCAGCGGCCTTACGTCGGGATGTTTGGTCACTGCAAACTACGAAGGCGCAGCGTCGGAGGTGAAGCTTACGTGGCTGAAGGGAAGAGAGCCCGCGGTCGTTTGCAAGGCGTGCGCGGCATATTATTTGAGGATTTCCGCAGCAGGGCAGATTGCGATTGAAATTGGACGGGGTATCGTTTGGAGCGTTTGGAACGTTTCGGAGGCTTCGAAAGTTCTTCAAACGCTTGGAACGCTTCGAACGCATCGAACATTTGGAGCGGTTGGAACCTTTGGAACGCTCCAAACGTTGGAGCGTTTCGAAAGTTTTGAACGTTTCGAGCTTGTCAAACGTTTCAAACTGCTCGCGGCCGAAACAGGCTGGGGGAGATTTTCGCGGCCGAAACAGGCCGGCGGGGATGTTCGCGGCGGAAACAGGCCAGGGCGCAACGTTCGCGTGAGGAGGGCATGCTGTCACTGAGCAACGGGTGCTGCAGGATGGAGGGCGGGTTTGATTCTGCCGACTGCAATCTTGCCACAACATCGCGAAGGTGTTGTGTGAGGAGAGGATCTCCTCCAGTGTGGTTTTCACCACAACCGCACTGGGGGAGCGCACCCGAGAAAATAACAACAATCAACGTGGACGACGGGTGAGTTGTTTCAAAACTTCATTTGCCGCGTTGCCTTGGTTGACGATTGACCGACTTTCGCCAAATAAAAGCTTACGCATGGTCGTTCCAATAGACGACTTCCACGCAGATTCCAGTTTCTTGTGGTATCGCATGTCTCTCTATTGTTGCCAGCCGGAACCGTCACCGATCGGAGCTTTGACCAGGTCTTCCTCTTTGTGGGCGTGACACTGGGGCTGTTCAATTTGATCATGGCGATTTTTATCGACAATGACCGGAGCTCAGACCTGGGTGTGAGAAGAGTTGATGGAGGCTAGAAACAAGCTTTTTATGTGGGTCTTATCTTTCTGGGCGAACCCGCGCTGCTATTTGGTGGGAAGTCTAACGGCTGGACAAGTGGCCTTGGCACACCAATTCAGGGATGTCCCTTTTGCGTGGCGGGCTGCCTCCCTTCATCAGATGTGAGAGCTGTTCAAAGAAGGTAGCTGGCACTTGCCTTTGCTTCTGTTGGTAGACCCCAGGTCTCCAAAGTTCCGGCTGCCCAATCTAAGGTCATGGCCAACCAGATGCAGCGCAAACTGCAGGAAATATCCAACTCGGCCAAGCATGTAGAGATCGAGATCAAGGACCCCGTTCAATCTTCTGATTGTGGGCTGGATGAACCCGAGCGCTTGCTCGACTGCGTAGCTAGTGAGGGTGTGCACTCTGTGATTACATGTGCGCTGTATTCAACATGAGACACCATTGCTTGTTGTTTCAGGCGACCTCGCCTCGAAAACTGGAAGGATGGTTGCTCAGACAAACCGTAGCTGAAGATCCTTGACAGCTCAACAAATGCGTGTTTCTCAAAGTAGGGTTGGGCTTAACACATTGCTTCCCTGAACCATCCAAAGGGGGTCCACCGTTCTGAGAACACTCCCCCCCCCAATAGGCCCCTCCCCTTCGGGCAAGCCGATGTCTCATGCGGCTCGATGATAAGGTTTCCGGCGGGTGATCTGGTTGTATGTCGCGGGAAGGCTCCGTGTAAGCTGCACAGTTAACGGAGGGGGGCCAGCTGTTCTTGCCAAGTCCAACGGCCGCTTCCGGCAACAAAGGTTCTTTCCTTAAGAGTACCTTTTCTGAATCAGTATGTGTCGACATAGGGTGGCCCAAACATTGTAGGTTTCCTTTTACTTTTGCCTGTACACCAGCGAAAGCACGTGAAGACCCTGGGGCCCCTTAGTTCTTATAGTCATCTAAGATGGGCTAACCACAACACTCAAAAGAACCGGGACCCAGGAGTGTGGGATACAGCACTAACTATTAACGATTATATATATATATATATATATATATATATTATATTTACACATACACAACTCAATTTGCCTTTGGGTGGTGGTTTGGGGTGGAAGGGCGATTCACCCTCTTGTTTCAAACCTGCTTCTTTCGTGTAAGCAGCCTTTGGGTTTCCTCTGGGGACCGAAAGGGTTCTGATTTGTTCAAACGAAATTTGCCCAAGCCTTTGCAGGGGGCCACCGGAGGCGTTGCGGGGGAAGGCATCAAGCCCGGCCTCCTCGGGGCCAGGAGGCTGTTTCAAGAGCCATACCCCTCCATTCTCTTCAGGGCTTTTCGACTGGTTCAAACCCGCGTGAGAGAAGAGTGAAGAGAACAGGGGAGTGCCATACATCGTCCCAAGAGAACGGGGAATTCACCCTATAATATGGGCAGGGTTGGTGGGGGTGGGAGGGATTTTATTTACTTTATAAATAAAAGTAAATAAAATTGTGGTAGCCAAAGGGTGTTGAACCATATTTTTCATGGCCCCCCGACTCCCTGCACTCCCTGCACTCCCTGCACTCCCTGCACTCCCTGCACTCCCTGCACTCCCTGCACTCCCTGCACTCCCTGCACTCCCTGCACTCCCTGCACTCCCTGCACTCCCTGCACTCCCTGCACTCCCTGCACTCCCTGCACTCCCTGTGCAAGGAGCAGCTGCTGAGACTGACGCTGCAGAGCAAGTCCAATGGTGTGCCGGAGGACGTGGGCGTTTTTGGTCACCTTTGGAAGCAGGGAGAATGCGCTAGCAACGTTTTGGTGCGTGGTTTTGGGTGGAGGGAGCTTGATGTGCAAGACTGCGACACACCCTGGGAGCCTTGGCATTGGTTTGGACTGGGTGACCGGCCTTGGCTCTCTTTTTTTCTCAGTTCAATCGTGTAGCAGCCGTCGTGGAAAGCAAAAAGAGAGGGAGACAAGTGGAGAAGCAAGTGGGGAACAAGTGGGGAGAGAAGTGGGGAGACAAGTGGGGAGAGACAAGTGGGGAGAGAAGCTGTGGCAGCGGGAGACAAGTCGGGAGACAAACCGTGACAAGGTCCGAGTCACAGCTGTCAACCCGATTGGTCTCTTTTCGTTCTTGCGAGGCAATGCCTTGTCCTTGACTTCGCAGTTTGATGTGGCTGCACAAACATGGTCTCCGGGTGTTGGCAACTTGTAGTACAGTCACCGCGAACTGATGCGCGTACTCACGGTTTGAGGTCGATCATATAGTCCTAGTACTCGCTTAGGCCATCTATCGCACCCAGGAGTAACCAGCCGTTCTCCGTTTGGTTCTTTGGGTAAGTTTGGATGTCTCGCAACATAAGAGCCCAACAACATTTTTGCTTTCCTTGTAGTTTCCCCTTAAATACCAACCAACAGGGGTCCGAAATCCATTTGAGTCAAGCGGGTTAAGCAGATAGGTTATTGGCATGGGATTCGGAGCTTCAAATTTGGACGCCCAAGCAATTATGGCTATGAATTCTAATAGGGAACCCCCTCCAAAGTGGTTGGTCGACATGGATTCGATCCCCACCTAAATGATGTCCACCAAAGGGTCCCTCAGTAAAATTCAGACCCATATGGCTTTGCGTGTTGGGTACCCTTTTGAAGGTTGGTTCAAGGGGACATCAAAAGGAGAGCCATTTTGAGCTCTTCCGAATCAGGAGGGCTTGTTTGCTTCAAGGGTAAAGCGCTCACCCCCCCTTCGCCGTGCTTCCATTGACCACTACAGGTAAACCAGGTATGCACGTTTTGGGGGTGTTTCCAAGGAGAATGGTCCGGATTCGCTCTTAAATTGGGGCACCACTATTAAGCAACCCTTCATCTCTTTCCCCCATCTCATGAAATGTGGTTTCCACTACCCCCAAACCGAAGCTACCAGGATCTTTCTGGGATTTTCCAACAATTCTACAACAGAACAAAATAAGGGGAACGCCACGAGGGGACATTTGGGCGCTACTTTGGGGTAGCGGAGACCATCTTAGGTTCTCCTCCCCCCCCGGCCAGACCCCTCAGGGACCCTTGCTGTCCATACTTTGTATCCCTGTGTCCGGCCATGGCCGCAACCTGCTCAAGTAGGTTGAACTCAGCCCCTTCTGGTTCTTAGTCGGGAATCAGGATGGCTTTGGGGAATGGACCCTTTGAAGTTTTGTTGGGGTCATTCCATTCTCCTATCCAAAGCAGCAAACCTAGCACAGAATTCTCCCAGAAGAGGACCTTTGGCCTAATATTCCCTCATAAGCCCATTCTAATTACTTAGCCTCGCATCTTCCCCTCTGAGACCTGAGAGGACATCGAGACGGAAATCATCTCCCTAGACGATCGCTTCAAGAACCACACCGCGCGGGTGCGCGCGAAGTTCGATCTGCTGATCGATGCGGAGGCGGTTTCTGCGAGGGACTGATGCGCAGGGAAAGCGGCAATCTGGGAAATTCTTGGAATATTTCTTTATGAACACAGTATATTGATATTATTATTGTGTTGTCTAATATATTGAATATGGTTTCAAAAAAATCGGTAGGAGCGAGAGGATTAGGAGGAGAGCAGAAGAGGGAACCCTATTCACTCTGATTCACCACTCATGAATTGAAGAATGAAAGTGTTGAGGGTCATGTAGATCAACGACTGGTTTCCGTTGTAAGGGAAGGGATCTTGGGACCAAGGTTGGGCTTGTAGGGTGCTCGTACTGTGGATTGACAGGTCTATTTTGTGCCAGTTACCCAGATGCGGATGGACAAAATTCATTTCGCATCACCGTTCAGAAACCCTGGTTTCTGATGATTCCCAAATAAATACCAACGAACTTTCTGGTTTCCCATGGTTTCAAAGAGGTGCGAAATGGATTTCGAAACCATGCATAGGGCTTTGTCCATCCCAAATGGTTATTTCCTCGTGTTTGTTATGGGGGTACCCCCCGGTACCCATAGCAACGCCTCGAGACCGGCATGCCGGCCGGCTAGAGCTTCCGACTGAGAAGCGATGGGATGATTTTGTAAATGGCCGTGGCTCAAAAAATGAAATCCCCAAAATGGCACCTTGGTGTATGGAAACAAAGACCAAAACCTGCGGTTTGCCCTAGCTGATTGATTTTGAGCCACCCCCAAAGATTTAGGTTGCAAAGGTCTGGGAGTCATATGTGTTCGCACTGGACATCCTCATTTTCAGTCGGGTAAACGGATTCGCGCAATTCCGCCAAGTTGATTTAATCCACGAGATACCCACATGTACCGTGACTTGTTCCATCTACTTTCACCTTGTACATTCTGAATATTGATGAGCCTTGAGGCTCTGTTCTGACCATGACCCACTTTGGCCAGTTTCCGAATCAGCAAGGCTCTAAGATCCGAAGCCCATTTCATTCAACGCCGAGCGAGCTCGCTCGGCTTCTTTGTGGGCATCTGTAGTGAAACACAAGTCACGACAAGGCGGCACCACATGAAAGAGCTCTGCAAAAACGCCAAAGACTCTGAACACTCTGAACAACTCTGAAAGCAAAAATGAATGGAACAACTGTCAATGGACAAACTCTGACAAGTCTGGCGATATCACGAAACTTATCGATTGCAAACGCCATCCAAGCGCAGGGGCCACGCTTGGCAGGAGTGTGGGCCGTAGCTGTCCCTCTCAGTCTCAAGTTCAGAGAGCTGGATAGCTCTTTGCGGGAAAGCGAACCAGTCACTCTGTGACTTATCTAAGCAGTATCCGCAAGCAAGGGTAGAAGAACTTGCCAGGCTGAGAAGCCCTTGCTGCGCTTCACTGCCAAAGAACTCAGTGCCCAACACCTCAGCGTCGAGTTTGCTTTGTTGCCTCTCTCCGTTTGCTTCCGAAGCGTGATGAGGCCATGGAAATTGGAAAAGTATCAACGGCGTGATTGGCCCCTCACGAGTCTCGGCTCTTAGTTCAAGAAGGCGCCCGGCAGCCACTTGTCGCTATCTAATGGATTCGTGACCAATGGATGGGTGGCGGCATAGACCTCATTTGCCTTGTCCGTAGAGCCAGACTGAGCCAGATGTGACGCATCTCCATGCGCACACACTCGGAACTGCGCTACGGTGCCCCATTGCGTTTCCTGCAAGAGCACTGCATCATACGCACTGGAAGCCGGTTGGTGAGCCAGCTCTGGACTTCTGGCCAAGCTTTTGTGCTTTTTGGCCAGTTGCGTTCCAACTTGTATGGGTAACGGCCGAATGACCCCTAAGCCATCCGGCACTGAGAAGATTGGGGGCTGAGTGCGCGGCGCGTGCGCGGCTGGGAAGCCTGCTGCAATCGGAGTGGTTTGATACGATAAGTCGCCGCTTGCTGTGTTTGCATGACTTTCCTGCCCTTCGAGAAGACTTCTTCTGCATACCACCAAAGTCAAGTGAAGCCGCCGCGTTCGTCTGTGATGCCATTCCATTTTTTTTCTCGTCTTTTTTTCTTCTTCTTTTTCTCGCAGCAACAAAGGCGCTGCTTTCCACAGAGTGGGAAAGTGGGCACCATGACGCCAAGCCCTGACTGCTTTTGTTTTAGACGCCTGGGAGTTGGGACGCAAGCGGAACTGAAGTGCCTTGGCTCCAAGAGAGCGCCAGCTATAGCCTGAGCCGGGGCGTGGCGTTTGATTCGAACAAAGTGCACCCTCAAAAAAGGAGAAGTTCAAGTCCGCGTGAGTTCGACCTCATGCATGGCGGCAGGTCATCATCACCAAGGCCGCCTTCTTATCCTGGCTGACGGAGCGGGGTTGGGGGCTTGAGGGCCGCGAGGTTGGGGTCAGATTCTATTCGGGAAGTCAGACTTACCATAGAGTGCAACCGGCTATCAGCTCTGCTATTCAGGAAATAAGAATTACCAACCAGTGAGTGGTGAGAAAGAAAAAACGGGGGTTCTTCCAACGACCGCGAGGCCGAGAGAGAGACCTCGTGGTGGGGGTGGCTTTTGACGTGGACCCGTCGCCGAGATTTTGGTTTCTCTTAGGGTTGATTCCTTTTCCATTATTTTCAACCATCGTTCTTTCAATAACCAGCCGTTTTGTTGGGTTTCTGAAGGTTTTCTAGAAGGATTCCTGGGTTAAGAATGGACATGGAAAAACCATCGTGAAAAATCCGGGGGGGGGGGGTGACACTGGAAAACCGAGACCTCATCAGGATACTGGAAATGGAAGGTCCACCTTGGGTTTCTGAAGGTTGTCTAGAAACCTGGAAGGATTCCCCTTAGGTTTCCAGCCGTTTCCAGCCGTTTCCCCATTCTAGAAGGATTCCTGGGTTAAGACTGGGGGAAGCTAAGCTAGCCCTCGAGTTTCAGGACGCCAACTTCCTCAAAGTCCTGAAGGAGGCGGACATCGAGACGGCCAACCAGTCAGGCCAGACGCCTCGCCTCGCCTGACGCCTGACCCACCCGGCTTCGACCTGCGACCAACATGGGGGCCCGGAGCTTCACGATCCGGATCTCCACGCTGTGTTTGTTCTTTTTTGGTGGTTTTCTTTGGAGGGGGGGGGGTGGGCCTCCAGTTTGGGGGCTTTCGCCTTTTCCTTTTCTTTGGAGGGGACCAACAATTGGGCGCTCTTTGGTGGAGTGTTTTTTTATTTGAATGAGGTACCCAGAAAGGGCTGCCATTTTTTCCTTGGCTGGAGGTATAAGCCATGAGTCAAGAGGTTCCCATAGTAAACCTGGTCCACCACCAATGACTGGGGGGATATTGATTCTCCAGAAGCATTTGGAGTAATTTTGTCGGAGGTGGTTCAGTTGTCCTTTATTGTGAATCTTTCGGCACCTGAACCCGGTTCACCGGCCACCGTTTGGGTGACCAGCAGTCAAGGACCTGGATCCTGTTATTCTGACACCACAGGAATCACCCCACAAATTCCATGTTGAATGCTGGCCGGTCCAGTATTCTCAAGCTATGCTTCTGGTGAGTGCAGTGTACTTACCCCCCTGAAGCTGAACCTGACCGACCACGATTTGTAGAGCAATCTCCTTTGGGGCGACCAACTTTTTGCTCAGTTGCCCAAAGCCAACCTTTTGACCTTTTGGTTTCCCCCTTCTCCATATTTAGTAAAGGTGCCAAAAGGTGATCGCCTTTTGTTTCTGGGTCTTTGGGCGACCGAACCTTTTTTTTGGGTTCCGTGTCGAGGACCCCAGGGGTGGTTCACCTAAGCCTCCAGTTCGCGCAGCCCCGGTCACAGACCGACCGGTTTCCAAGTAGCCTGCCTCTTTATGCTGAACTCCGCGTGGGCTTCCCTTTTGGTTTCCCTTTACTCCCCAAAAAGATGGGAGACCCTGAAAAACAACATCGAGGCCCAGCACGTGTTTTCAGCCAGAAGCTCAGTGAAGGTCCTCAGGTCTCTGGTGGGCCTTCCCTGACGCACCTAAAACCAGACCTGCAAAAACTGCACGGACCCATCTTACGAAGCCTCTAAACCCACCTTATAAAGGGTAGCCTCAAACAACTTGCTGGTTCTCACTTGGAATGACCCCACCCGATTTGGTTTCCTTTATTTGGGAATCCGCGGATTCATAGGCGTCCTTGTTAGGTGATTTTGGCTAGAAATAGATAGCACCGGTTTAGGTGGGTTTATTCCATTGACCAGGGCCATCTACTTTTCCCAAAAGGACACCTATGCCCAGATTCACTCCCTCATTCCCTGCCTATCGCACCGTGGCATGCCATGCCACGACGCAATTTCGCTGAGATGCCGCTCGCAGGAATCTACGAGGTGCTCGACGCGGACATGCCGCCTGGGCTGAGATGGGACTGCTCCTTCACTTAGGAACCCCCATATTTCAGGTGGGGGTTGATCAATATTGCATCTAGGGCCCCAACTGACCACAAGTAACTTTGCCCATGAGAATCGGAAGTCATCTTTTTGGTGGTTTTCCCCAATTGTCATGCCATGTAAAGGATCTTTTGATCAACCCCCAGGCTTTGGAATCACTGTAGAACACCACTTCTGAGTTGATGGGCAGTGGATAAGGCATTCGGGACCCCACAAAACCATTGGTCCGCCATTGGTGGTTTCCTCCTCTCTTGAGATTCCACGGTTTATTCCCAAAGCCCCTTTGAGGATTCTCAGAGAAGCAACGTTTCGACTGAAACATGGACCCAATGGCTTTCTTTCTCATTTCAACTGCACTGGTGTGTTTCCATGGGACTTGTATGAGTCCCCAACCCCCCTGTCATTTGACAGGTACTCCAGCTTGGAGATAGCAGAATCGACCTTCTGTCAGTGACCCTTTGGTTTTGGTTTCTGTTGTCACCCGTTTTGGCACACCGTGTTTGGATAGTTTTTAGCTCGTGTTCTTGGGGTCCTTTGTGCAATTGGGCAGCAAAGAAGCATGGCTCTCTCAGATCAAACCCACAAAGCAATACATAGCAGGCCTGACCTGCGCAAGCGCACCTGTGTTTGTATAGCTTGGCGAGCTTTTTCTGCGGCACGCACCCGGCTGCCTCAATACTCCTGGTTTCCTACCTTCCTTCCTTGCTTTCTTGCTTTCTTTGCAGGGGCCCTCAATTTCCATTTTTTGCGGGACCTCTCAAAGTGGCGGCTTGGACTCGTGCAGTCTTTTGAGAGCCCAGGAGCAACAGCCTGAGCATCCAAGAGGTCTACGTGGGCTTGATGAGGCCGACCCCCCTTTTTGGGTGGTTTTGAGGGAAATGCAAAAGGAGAAAGCCACTATTTTGGGGATCTCTGATTTTTTGAGGTTTGAGTGTGTCTTTGTTGAGGGTACCCCTTTTTGTGGGTTTTTGGGACACCAAGAGGGAAATTGAAGGGTATCCAACCTAAAGCACATCACACGCACTTGTGCATTCTTTTCTCGGGTTTGAATTCGGCCGAATCCGGCAGATTCGGTGAAATTTCCAGACGAATCGGGCAATTGGTCTTCAAAAGAATCGGATCCCCCAAAATGGTGGGTGTCCTTTTGTTTTGTCCCGCTGAGCTGTTTACCAGTTTACCCCGACAAGGTGACAAGGTTACTTTTGCAACTCAAAGAGCACATGGCCATTCGCGCGCCTTGTCGCGTTTCAGCTCCGCGGCCCTACAGGAGCCAAAGCCCATGGATATTTTGTGGGGACTCGAGTCCCCCCAAAACACACAAATTGGTGGGATACAACAAGGAACAGCCTGGCAACCAGTCGGGGGGTCAGAGTTGGGCCCGAAGAAGCCTCGCGGTGGCTGGGGTAGAACTGGCTGTTACTCTTCCTTGGCCCAGGTTTAGAATCGGTTTGGCATTCCTTTGTAGTTTTAGAGTCGTTAGAATTGGTCTAGAAATTTCTTGTCCTCGATGGTACTTTCCGAGATATGATTCTTTTCTCTCGTTCCTCCCCTTCAACATTGTGTTTCTTATTCGTCTGATCATTGCGAGCTTTGCGGGCTTCACTGTACCACCCTGTTGAACATTTGCTTGGAAGGCTGTTGTACTACCGGATGTCTTAAAGACTTTGGCTCTTTGCAACCTCAGTTGTTTTGCTGGCTCAGAATTTGCCTAGTATTAGTATTGCGTCAGCATTAGTTGGTCTTGGTTTAATCCTGGTTAGTATTGAACTGTTGGCGTACTATTAGTTTAGTATTGGCTTAGGGTCCTGTTTTTTCTCACCCCCGGATGAACAGCCATAGTTGTTTGGTGGGAAACTACTTTGGGACAACTTTTTGTATTGCCTCCCACTACTCGTCGCTCCCTCTTGGTTTTCTTTTTCAAGGCAAGTGACCCACGGTCCCCTTTTAAGGTCGACTTCCTTCTGGTTTCCACGCCGCCCAACGGATGGTCCATCTTGAGACAGCACAGGCTGCGAGGGCCCATTGCCAAGTCGGAGATCGTGGGCCTTATCCTCAGGCCGGTCAGCCAGCATCTTTCCGAGAAGAGCGTGCGCGTTTATGCTGCGGTGCAGCATGTCCACCCCGATTTCGACCCAGAAGTCACGTTTTGCAAGCCCCAGGGCCCGTTGTGTCTAAAGGACACACCGGAGGTCAACAGGTTTTGGGGCAAACAGCCTGGGTTCGAGCCTCTTACCGCAATACTTGGACGGGGGCCGCCCCAGGCATTCACAAATTCAATGGGTTTCACTACCCTGGCTTGAACTTGCAACAGACACCGGTGAATTTCATGGTGCAACTTACAAGAGTGGATTAGAATTCACCACAGCTCGTCGCTTTCAAGTGGTTTTCCTCACAGGCGTCTCCTCTGGATTCAAGCGCCCTAGGTCGAGAAATGTTCCGGACCAAGCACAACAGATTCAACACAGGGTCAAACTGCGGTTGCTTTCCCCTCCCCCCCCCCCCAGTGTCTTCTCTTTTGTGCTTGCTTTTTAGTTGCAAAGTGGTGCTTGTGTTCGTTGTTGTTTCACAGTCAATTTGGACTGCTGCATCCTGAACTCGCATACTCCGGGATTTGTTCTTGCTTTGAGTTGTTCAAGCTCACTGTTTGTCATGAGGCTAGCAAGTCGCATATCCTGGAAGCCGCATTGTTTCTCCGCAGCGCGTGTTCCTCTTGTTGGGGGGTTTGACAACACAACGCGCATCGTTTATAGCGCTGGTTTGGGTTGCATGAACAGGTTCTATTGTGCCGGTTGCCACTCAAGCGCAAAGCGGGTTGAGCAGCAGGGATGCTTCTCTCTTTCTGCCTCTGCCTTTGCATCTCTGTGTCTCTGGGGATTGGGGGGGAGGGGTTGGCGGTTGGTGGGGGGGGAGGGGGGTTGGGGGGGAGGGGGTTGGGGGGGAGGGGGTTGGGGGGGAGGGGGTTGGGGGGGAGGGGGTTGGGGGGGGTACCTTTGTCTCTCCGTGTCTGATTGGCAGGTTGCGGCACGTGACGCAGCTGCTCAACGGGGAGGAGACGGAGGACCACCACCACTTTTGAGGTTTGAGGCTTTTCCTGAGGTGGGCGTGTCTCAAAATCGCGGGTCTTCCTTCATGTTGGCTTCCTTTCACTCATCAACCCAGGACCCCAATTATTGTGGACCAGGACCATTTGCCTAGATTTCTAAATAAAGGGTAAAGCCTGAACTGTTGAGGGTCCAGATTTTAAGACACACCCATCGTCTCACCGCGGAATATCGTTGAACTAGCGAGCATGAGGATTCGCCTTCCCATCTGAGGCCTTCGTTCGGTTCAAATGGGGATGTCTTTTGTTCCCTTTGGTTGGGTCACGTAATCGCCCCAATGGGTCGGCCTGAGAGTCACACAATGGGAATTTCCGCCCCACCAGGTTTTCCCTTGAAACAAGCCGAGGGTACCTTGCAAAAGAATCACCTCAAGTGAATCTGATCGAGGGGGCAACAATGTGGGCCAGCAGTGCCGAGATGCCGGAGATCGATTCATGGCTCAACCTGCAGCTTGGGAAGGCTAAGGGAGCTCTGCAGCTCTGCTCTGCACCAGATCTCGGCCAACGTCGAGGTTTTGAGTTCTGGGCGAATTCCCCATCGCGGCGGGGTATGTCAGAGGCGGACGGCTTCAAAGTGAGCGGTGTATCTGTTTTTTGTTTCCCTTGAAACCAACCTGAAACGAATATCACGCCTCAAAGCAACACACCCAGATGAAGACATATTTGTTGTTTTTGTCTCTAGAGAAATCCCGTCGGCGCTGGCAAACAATTCACCCACACCAATTGAGTCATACTCAAACCGATCGGTACTAAAGGGCTGTGCCCACAAGCATGCAAGAACCAGGGCGGATATCCGCACATTGGTTTGGACTGTCACTTAAGCTTCCCTTGGGTTTGATTGTGACTCAAATGCGGCCTCAGACCCTTTGACACAGGGGAAGGCCAATGCCAATACACTTTGGGTGGCCCGCATTCTATCCAGCGGTTCCGAAACCGGACGTGAGATCGGAGCCGGGTTCGTTCATTCGAACTCGTCAAGTTCGCGGGTCCCCTGAATATTTTCCCCGCTCCTGCAAAGCAGGCTTAGACCATCCGGCACGGGCCTCCGGCGCTCTTTTGCAAGAGAAAGGTCGCCCGCCGGTCTCCAGACCCGCGCCAGCTGCGCGTTCCACAAGGGTTGGCTGGCGGTCCGGAAGACCCGCCCAAGTGCAGCTTTTCTTGGGTGTTTGCCAGGAGAACACCATGCAAAAAGCCTGATGGTTGCATACACCCCATGTTTTCCGACAGTTTGGGCCGAGTGAAGCAACCAGCCCGGCCTTATTCTTCAAGTCATGTCCCGCTCGCCGCTCGGCTCAGCTCGCCGCCATTCCGGCTTAGATGGCAGAAGGTCTCAACAAGGCACGCAAGAACAGAACTCACGTTGAGTTTGGCAGCTTCGCCCAGAGCACCACTCAACTGCGTGAGACGTTTGAGTCTCGGCATCGTTGTTTGTTCTTGGACGGTGGATTCGCCCTTGTTTTTTTCCTGGAACTAGCCGAAGAGGGAGGCGTGCTACGTGATTCCCGAATCTATTGCCCCGTGCTTCTTAGCCGCGCCTTGGATTGGGCGTCTTGCCCGATGCCGCGGCCATGCAAGATGTCGCGGCCATGCAGGCCAGATGAGGGTGTGCCGTACGACCTGGAGGAGGAGCTTCGACCGCAGAGCAAAGACAAGCAGGCAAGCCACAGCCAGCGAGGCAAGGTGAGGCAAGCAGACAAAATATTCCTCAAAAACAACAACAGGAAACCATCCATGGGTTCCACAAATAGGAAGACAAGCCGATACCGATGAACTCAAACAGTTGCCGGCATGTTTGCAGCGTACTCAAATGGCGAACTTCCAAACAAAAGAGCCCCATGCAGATCGAAATGGAGTCTGTGTTGCACTTGCAACTGTGTCCTGGACGGCGAGCGTTCCGAACTGGCAGCGTTCCGTGGCTAGTCTTTTGGGCCGCAGCGTGTAGGCGAGTTTCACCAAGCTTCAAATACTTCTTATGGACGATCCTGCATGAAAACCTTGGTGCAACGATTTTCCCGCAAATACCAAAGCAAACACTGCTTCTTTCATGGTTTAGGTGGTGCGAGCGGATTTTGCATCACAGCAAACTTTGTTTTCTATCGGCCCAAGTGAAGGGGAAGTTGATGCACCCTCCACAGACACGCACCCGAATGATTTGGTGTTTATCCCGCCCCGAAATGCGAAAGACCTATAGAACATGTACTGTATGTATATATATATATATATAAATCCATGTATATATATATATATCTATGTATCTATATACATGTATGCGCCCCCCCCCCCCCCCATGGACCCTGGTTTAGGGCCTCTTGGGGATGATAAATATGGAATCTAGAGAATTCTCGAAATTTCCATTTTTGGGTCCCCAAAGCCTCATAATTCGGAGCCCGGAGTCCTCCAAAATGTCCCAATATAATACCCTTTCCAGATATAATTTTACTTCGACTAGAATTGGATTTTTGAATATAGTGGTTAGTTAGGATATAGTTTTCCAAAGTATGTTTAATGTTCAAATATAACTTAAATAAACAAATCCTTTCCGAACAGGAGTTACATGATAATGTAAAATATAATTTCGGGTAAACTCCAACCCATCTATACCAAAGGAAATTAGATAGGAGTTTGTTCCCAAATATTTTAAGCTTTAGATATAGTCCAATTCAGCTAGCTTTTAATAATAGCTAAACATTTAAGGGACTTTAACATAAACCCACATACGATTTGTATTATTAACATTCTGGCCCTTTTGTAGCATAAGACAGGTCCGACATCAAACTTGTTAGACTGTGTTTCAACATGGACATTTCAAGGGAAGAGATGTTCAAAATCTAAAACTACCTCAACAGGGGTTCTAGCTATATCAACCGTATTTAAAGTCTTATTTGGGTAGTAGATGAGCAGAGGTGGACAGGTAGTTCAGGCGGGGGGTGGACAGTGTGTGAAATGTATATGTGTACAACATTCAAGTTCTTCTAAGACTTGAAAGTGGATTGAGGAGTCAAAATTGAAGATTGCACAGACAACAACTTTCCTGAGACTCATCAATCCGGGCCAGCCCCAAACAACTTTCAAGTTGTTCTAACACCTCAGCGGTATTTTGCCACTGGATTGAATATTCGAGATTGAAATCTTCTCCGAGAATCTTGTCCTCTCACTTTGAACCCAGAAATTGCGGGAACTTGGAATGCATATGACTGCAGGTGGGTGCGCATACTTGGTTGCAGTACTGGGACAACCCTGGATTTTCTAAAAATAATAATCCGGGATTCAAGATTCAAGATTCCCAAAAATAGTTTTCTCAGATTATTGACTCTTGAATCCTGAATCCCACGCATATATATATATATATATACACAATTCCGGGGTTGTCCTAATACTCTGAGATGGATGCAGACTCTGTCAGATGATATGTTTCTTACACTACGAATGTATGCACACATATATAGATATACATATGGCACCCCCCCTCATTTTGCCACAGAACCCACCAGGCACAAAAAGCATAAAACACTGGAAACAACACAGCTCCAGCTCACCAAACCAGGGTCCATGGGGGGGGGAAGGCACTTTTCTTTCAGAACCAGAGCCAAGAGAAATGGTTTTCCTGTGGTGTTCCCTTGAAACGGAGTTCGGGTCTGAGCTCCAGCAAGCGCTGTGGACGAAATCCTTTCGCACCACGAAATGGTATTTCTGTTGGGGACTCGAATCCTTCCATTGGGCCCTGAAGCTTGATGGATTTCGCAACCATCCAGCATATGATTTAGGTCTGGGACAAAATCAGTCCACCGAAAAAAACAGCGCCTCGGTGACGTTTTCCAACCCATTTTGGGGTTGCCCGACGTTTTCATTCGGGAGATCCCTCCCGTTTTCTTCCCGAGGAGCTGGAAGAGACCGCACGGAGCTTCGAGGAGCACGTGAAGGGCCTCGTGCTCACGCCCCACGGAGAGGATTTCCGATAGGGCTCCAAGCCGAAAGGATCCGACGATTTAGGGTAGATCAAACATGGACATCGAGTTAGGGTCAACTGAATATGGTGTATATATATATATATATATATACACACTTTAGAGCGAATGACTGTGAATGGACGCCCACTGATGTGGGTGTGAAAGCTGGACTTCGGACCCTTGGGAAATGGGTGGGGTTTCTTTGGGCTAAGCTCAAAGCGCACACCTTTCTGTCCTCCTTCGCGTCCCCGCTTCAGGTTCCCCACCCGACGGCTCAACCCCGCGATTGTTTCTGTTTCCCGGTTAGGTTTAGGGCTTTTAGGGTCTAGGTTTCGTGTTTTTAAGGCTTAAACTTGGTTTAGGGTTTTTAAGGGTTTTAGGTTAAGCGTTTTTTTAGGCAATGCCAAGTGGAGAAGGGTGGACGCCGATTGGAACCTTGGGCTCGGTGGAGAGATTGAGCAGCCTTCAGGTTCCAACATCTGCAGACCAGCTATGCAGAGCTGCTCTCGCAAGGCTCCGAGCTGCAGCTTTACCCACCGTGGCTCGGCTTCCCAAAAAAGTCTGCGGCTTTTCGTGTGTGTGTGTGCGCCACCGCTTGTTTGGTCCTCCCGAATGGCCGGTCTGTCCATTGCGCTGACAAGCGCCCAATGGGCCCAATGGGCCCCAACCAAAGGAAGTGCCTATCTGGGCGTGCAATATTCGCGGCCGAATAATTCTACATACGCTTCTCTCCTGGTCATGGCTTTTGGTTTCAAAGCGCCCCGCAACCCGATTCCAATTCCCTTGGCCCGAATTGAAGAGAACTGCCTATAGAAGCAAGCCCTCTTCCTGACAAGCCATCGGCTTCGATCCGGATTCGCTGCGCCATGTGTCTGGGAACGGGCGCGCAGCTGGAGTGCGAACTGTCAAACCGGACGCGGCGTGCCGCGTCGCTGTCGTGACCGAAGCCTTGCTTTTGAAACCGCCGGTGACCGGAACACTGATATAGATGACGTTTTATCGCATGGGGCAGCTGTTTTGGCAAATGTTTGGATGCAATCATTTTGCGAATATTTCGAGCAACAACTGTCCAAGCATTTTCCCGACCATGTGAGGCACGTTCCTCCCTGCAACTCGCGGCTTTCCAAAAACCATAAACTCTCTGGTTACCTACTACTATGGTTACTGGAAGCACTGGGTAAAGCAAGCCCCGGGAAGAAATTGCTCCTTCGAAACCGATGGAAGGCGCTGGCATTTAAGGGTGGGACTCCCTTTCGGCCCAGGAAGGTTTCGTCACTCTTGACCGGCAGGGAATAGGAGGACCTACGTTCACTGGTTACGTTCACACTGGTGTACATTGGATTTGCCATTGCAACTCGTATGTTCTTGGGTGGGCTCGTTTGATTCCTGGGATTGTAACAAAGTTTGGGCCCGACTTTCCTCGGTTTCAGCCATGGTCAACACACCCCTTCTTGCCGAGGTTTGTGCGGACGCCTTGGCGATTTGAGTTGGTGCAACCGCAAGGGTTCCTGTGAAGGAAGCAGGATCATTGCCTTGGACATGTAGCGGTTGCACACACCTGCTTGAGGGGGAAAATAGGGAGGGGTCTAACTCCTTTACAACTGGTACTCCTCATGGTCCCCTAAATTTCCTTGAACACCCAAAGGTACTCCACATCATTGTTAAGAAACTTTATGTGGATTTGTTTTGTGTTGCAAGGGACGGGCGCCTTTCGCATGGGAAGGTCGGTCGAAGAAGAACCTCAGGCAGGGGATCCATGTAAGAGGGCGAAGCTCTGACTCATTTGTCCCACGCAGTCTCCGTCGAGGGCATGGGAGGTCTTCTCGTTCTGCGCAAAACGAGGCTTGCGGTGTCGCCGGCCAGATCTTCCGTGCGGCGCATGGACGACACCAAGTCGCCCTCAATGAAATCCAGACCCACCAGCAAGGCCGTTGCCAGGGCGGAAGGGAAGTAAAGGTATATCTGTGTGGCCCGGGGTGCATTGGTGAATATATACAAGATGTGTATATGTGTCCATATGTATGCATACATATATCATGCATAGGTATGCACGAATGTATGTACACCTACATGTATGTATACTCACACCTAAGCATTTGCACATGTAGAATTATGCATATGTGTATATATATATATATAGAGACACCTATATTGTTTTATACATGTACACATATCGAGGACTTCGCATACATATATATATATATATATATATATATATGTATATGCACATATAGATAGATAGATAGATAGATAGATAGATAGATAGATAGATAGATAGATAGATAGATAGATCGATAGAGATACCGCCCCTGTGCTTGGAATGCTAATGTTGGTGTTGGTTCTTGGATAGAGCCTGGAAAGCTGAAGCACCGCCCACTCCTCAGCCTCCGCCAATCCATGCGCGATGGCTTGCCTCGTTTTTGCGCGCGCTGTGAGCTATCAAGTCCGTTGAGATGTGAATACTTGATAGCTCGTGTTTGCACCTTGGCAAGTGTTTGCACCTCAAACAGTCGGCAAAGTGCGATGATCTTGCGCCGTGTTTGCACCTTGGCACAAGATCCGCGCGTTGTTTCGTGGAGAGATGTGAATCGCCAGCGTCCCAGACCCGAGTTCCTGTCTGCATAGAAGCACAGGTGGGGTCCACTGAACATCAGTGAATCAGCCGAGGTTCATGCGCCGGGACCTGGGACTAGCCTCTTCTCTGCTTCTCTCGACTCATGGACAGGAGCTTCGCTTCTTGTGTCTTTGTCTTACCTCTTAAAAAACACAACTTCTCAACTTTTTGGGTAACATGGGCTATATGTCTGTAAAAGATTAACTTCCCCAATCCTTGGAGTTTTAAGGGGTAAGTTATTGTTCTCCTCACTCGAAGCTACCTTCTCGCTCGGGGAGGGCCCGCGCTGAAAAACGCGCTTCTCGGTCTTTGATAGCTCGAGCTGCGCGCGATGAACAAGGATGGCCGGTGAATGAACTTGCGAGGATCAGAGGGAGCCCAGCCGACCATGCTGCCTGAGAACGTCTATCTTCTTTTAAGCCCTTCGAAATCCAATACCCTCTTTCCTACTAACATGGCACCTCACAGGTCCCTCGAAGAGGAAAATGAACTTCTAGGTGCCTCCGCACAGGTGCCATGGCAACGTGGGAGGAAGGGTATCTCCCACGCCTTCAAAAGCCGCACCTCATTGAGGTCCAGGGCTTCCCCCTATGTAGCTCCTACTATGTCTTCGCTTCAAACCTGAAGGTTTTTGCCAGAAACCTTCTGCATGACCCGGTTGCGCGGGAAAAGCAGCACAGGGGAGGACAGGGCCAGATAGCACACACACACACACTCTGCACACACACACACATATGTACACACATGCAGACACACATATACATGCGTACCTACGTCTCTACATGCATACATACACACATACGCGCACATGCATACATACATACATCCATACCTACATACATACGTACATACGTACATCGTACGCACGTACATACGTAGATACGTACATACGTACATACGTACATACATACCTACCTACATACGTACGTACGTACATACATACATCGATACACACATACATACATACATACATACATACATACATGCATACATACATATACATACATGCATGCATGCATGCATGCATGCATGCATACATACATACATACATACATACATATACATACATACTAACATAACATAACATAACAAAACATAA